CTGCCTTCGGCTCAGGTCATGATCCCAGGGTCCTGGGATGGAGCCCCGCATCAGGCTCCCTGCTCAGCGGGAAGCCTGCTTCTCCCTCACTTCTATCCTATCCTGTCTTAACTGTCTTAACTTTGGTTTTAACAGGCAGTTCTATGAACAGATTACTGAAACATTTTAAAACAAAACTAAGAATAAACCACTTGTGGCAGGCAAAATAATGGCCCTCCAAAGATCTCTAATTCCTGGAACCTGTGAATATGTTATAGTACATAGCAAAAGGGACTTTACAGACAAAATTAAGGTGACAGATCTTAAAACAGGAAAATGTTCCCAGATTACCCAAGCAAGTCCAATGACATAGGTCTTAAAAGTAGAAGAGGCTGGCAAAAGAGTCAGTCAGAGATATGATATGGACAAAGAGGCAGGAGAGATTAAAGTGAGAGACTGACTCAATCCATTATTGCTGGCTCTAAAGACAGAGGAAGAGGCCATAAGCCAAAGAATGTAGGAAGCCTCTAAAACTGGGAAAAGCCCTCAGTGACAGCCTGCAAGGAAACTCACACCTCAGTCCGTCCTACAGACTCAAGTTACTAAATTATGCCAACAAACTAAATGAGCAAGGAAACGGATTTTTCTTAGAGCCTCCAGAAATGAATGCAGCCCTACCAACATTATTTGTGGTGACACCATGTCTGATTTCTGACCTACAGAACTATAAGATAATAAATTTGTGTTGTCCAAAGTCATTAAGTTTGTGGTGATTTGTTAAAGCAGCAAGAGAAAAATCAATTCACCATGTATAAAACAGTTATTTAAATAATAAAAAATGTCTAATCAACTCTAAGATAATGTAGGGCAGAAATACTGCTTTTATTTTTTTATCATCCTTAATCATACAGAGCTTCAAGGATAGAAGATGCTCATGATACAAACACAGTATGTTCAAAAGTAAAGTTCATTTTTCTTTTTAAAAATACTTTTTGATCACTAAGATCAAAATATGATATCAAAGGTCAGGTGAAATAACCAAATTGGAAACTAATATTCATGCATCTAGACCGTATGAAAGAAATCACTTACTTTGAGCCCACCGATAAAGCCTTTCATAAGCTGTTTCTTGAAGCAAGGCCATCTGTTCCATAATTTCTAAACTAAGAAAATTAAAAATTTATTTTAATTTAAAGTTTTAGACAACAGCTACACCTAAGAATTTAATTGTTTTAATTACAGAGTGATCTGGTTACAACATATTAACTTTTTATCATTTATGGAATGATTTTTCAATAATTTTTTTATGACTTAATAAACGTCAAATTTTAATACCATAACTTAGATTGGCAAGTGTTGTTTTACTCTGTAAGTATCAGGGTATAACTAACTCCCTCCTTATCCAAAGATACATAAAGATTAAATTCCTATTTCACAAAATGTCACTATTTCAAAAAGGACCTCGGATGCCTTTAAAATTTTAGAAATATACGAGGAAATGATTTGAAATAAACAGAAAAGGTTACTACTCACCCTGCTGTTTGTTGGTTTGTACGCAAGAGAACTTTGACATCGTTATGAATCCGTTTTACTCTTCCCAATGCCTTGAAAAAATCCTTTAAAATTAAGAATGCAACTCTAAAATGTCTATGTTTTCAGGTGAAATTGCATTACTCTAAATTGAAATATCACTACAAGGGAAAAACAAATCCTTTCACTTACTCTAATGAAGGCTTCCTAAAACTGACCTCAACTTTCTCTAAATTTTTAGAGAAAGTGTAACAGATATTTATTTACATTTTAAAACATACATTAATTCAATGTCTGCTAGTTCCAAATAGTATGCTAGTTGCCGGGAACACAAAATTTATAAAGATATAAAATCCCTGTCCTCAAGAAATATATAGTCTAGTGAGAGAGAATGCAAACCTAAAGATGACTACATAAAGAAAAACATGCTATGTATTACACACCTTATGACTAATTAACCATAGCTTTGTTATCACTGAAGATGATGTTTTACATATCTTTTATATACCTGTTCCTGCCCCCTAATCCAAGAGTAGAATGTAAAGTTGGAGACATAAAAGCTGCTCATAAATATACAGGAACTGACTGATGCTGAACTTCAAGATTTTTTTTTTCCTTTAGAAAAAGGCACTGAAGCCTTAGTTTCCAGTCACAATGTTCCAATCATGAAAATAATGAATTAGTTATTTTTCTTTGATGAGTGAAATTAAAAAAAAAAAAAAAACTCTTCTAATACCATTTACTATTTCTGCTAAGTGGAGGAAAGGTAAGATGTCAAATATTTCAAATGTGCAAAGTTCCACAAACTATAAAGGGCAATAACCACCAATAAGTAATGTACAAATCAATTCTCTATGTACTTAACTCCTTACTCCCAGATGACTGATTCCACTCTAGCCTAGCAGTAAGAAAAGAGTGACATCTATCAAGAGCAGCTCAGTGAGCCCCTCCCCCTTCTGAGAACTTATCCTGTTCTCAACCCTTGAACGATGACAACGGGCTTAGGTTTATAGGTTCTCCCAGTGAGAAGACTGCAAAATTCCTTTTTGGAGAAAGTGAATGTCTTCAGGAAAAACAAAGAAACAAAACTTTAACTGGTTGTTTAGCATTTTGAGGGGCTTTAGAGTTTTGTGTCAGTTTGGAAAGAAGGGCATAGATTCAGAAACTAATTAGATGAAAAGAGAAGGAATTTCAAATTCCAGGAAAGACAAGAAGAAACATGTATTCATTGTAATGCCATGGTAATGAAAACAGAAAATGTCATATAACTGTACTGTAAGGTAGGAAGGAAAGACAACATGTATGTGTGTAAGAGGAGGGTAAGAGACTAAAATCTCCTATTTCATGATAGGAAATCAATAGATAATAGGAAACATAGATAACCAAAGCCTTTTTTTTTTTTAAATCAACAGATCCAGGATGCAGAATTTAGAAAAGAAGCAATTAACAAGGTTGAAAATGGTTGACAAAGGACTTAGAGACGAGGAGGAGTAGGTTTTCTTTATAAATTTGATACTCTTTGATTTCTTAAAAAAAAAAAGTTTAGATATTGCTTTGAATAAACAACAAGCAAAAAAGCCAAATTAAGGTAATTTAAGATGCATCTTAGTTTCTAAACTTAAAATATATTTTTAAATCAAACTTTTAAGATGGTAAAATAAAGCCTTAAAAAAAGTGATTTCTCTGCAAATCAGTATCTGCTATGCTTTAAATGATTGTAACAATGAACAAGATACCTCAGTAATAGGTCCTTCTCTAGTGCCTCGGAGGAGACCCATTTCATCAGAAGTCAGCTGGAACTTGGATAAGAAGGCATCTGCGACTTGTGCTCTTATTTCTAATCTTTGACTATAATTTTAAAAAAGCAATAAAAAGTCACGCATGCTGTGAATTTGCATCGCCTAAAACAAGTTATATCTCTGACATAATTTCTTAAAACAAGTGTGAAAGATTCTCAACATCTTTGAAAGCCTCATTTCTGCCTCAAACATTAGAAGCTCATCAGGCATGTAGTTAATAAAATTAGCTGAACTTGTTCTACCTCAGATACCTGCAGACAGTAAAAGGAGTTAATCATTATGCAAAAGAAGAAATAAGTTCACAAATGGTCCCTGCACAACAAATTCTCAGCCATTTACATGTACTTGAACTGTTCATCTTGTAGCAACAAGGTTATCTTACAGGAGAGAAATATGCCCATCTTCAACTAATTTCTTCTTAGTCAGTAAAAATCCTAAGCTTCTGAAGTTTTCACATGAAGTACACAGCAACCAAAAATCAGGTCTACTATTTTTTACTTCAGGTTAGAAACAGAAGTCAAGAACTCATTTACCAATTCTTCATAAATCCATAAAAGCACTTCACTTTTGTATTCCCCACTTTTTCTGCATGATATGGTAATAAAAAAAAGCCTTTTAAATCACATTATCTGGATGCAACCTCTCTAGACTAGGTTGACAATTAAGAAAAGGCATGCTTGGGCACCTGGGTGGCTCAGTTGGTTAGGCAGCTGCCTTCGGCTCAGGTCATGATCCCAG